TTGAGTCCTTATGGGTAAGTTATGTTTGATTTCATTGACTAAATATAAAATAACCTTAAAATTAGGTCTTCTTTTGCAAACTCACCTAAGAGTCTGATATAAACTACGGTATTTTTCGGACTATAAGCCGCTACTTTTTCCCTGCGCTTTGAACCATGCGGCTTGTAGCCCGGTGCTGTTTTTCTGTGGCTTTTTCTTCAACCACCAGGGGGCTCTTTAGAAGGAAGTGAATCATTGGAAGTCAAAATTGGAAATCAAAGAGGAACGCGCTATTTTTCATTCAGAACAAGCACATGCTTCCAGCAGGTATGACGGAGAAATGTTTCCAAACTCATATGATGCAGCTTTTAAGTTGCGGGGCATCGATCTGGCAGTATAGGAGGGAAATAGAGCCGCTGCACGTAAACTCGACGTGAACGAAACTATGGTTCGGCTTTGGAGACGGAGAGCTGCGTCCTTAATAAATCCAGCAGATTTATTAGGACGCAGCCCTATGTATCTCTGATAAATTACAGTGAAGGAGACAATCTCCCTACAGTTTGCTTACCCGTCATAAATAATGTGTAATAACTAATTCCCACCAGCAGATGGCAGTGCTGCATCAAGAAAACCTCCACGTTTGCATGGCAACACTTATGTCCTTATGTTAGGATGTGTAATTTATATTTTAGAAAAAATGTGTTGCTTAGAATACATTTCTTTCTGCAGATGTAATTTTCATGTTTTTTTATTTTATTTTATTTTATTTGAAGCAATAACATAATGATAATAAAAAGATAAACATACAGGGAAAACCAAACTACAAAAGATTTATAAAGTTGGAAGAAATACTAAGATAGTTTGTTTATGCAAATCCTTCAAAGCGTTAAAAATAGAATAAATGTATTCTACTGTTACAAAAACACCTCCCTGGCAGAAGATTATTACATAATCATTGGGCAATCATGTGATAAACTTTAGCAACTGAACATAATTCAGTTGTGATACAAACTCAGACAGGTGCAAACAGCTCTGAGGAGTGTATGCGTTCAGAAGTGCTCGTCAGTGTCTTCCTTTAAATAGAGCCCGCTCCTCACCAGCCCGTCAACTTCCAACATAATCACGCAGCAGCTCAGAAATAGAACTGCGAGGTGGGAGATCAAACTATCACCTCTTAATTGTACCCTGAGTCTTAAAGATGCTGAGAGCCTATTAGCGCACAAAGAAATGTGGTGTTTACTGCTCCCTGAAACATGCATCAGTATAATGCAGCTGGGAGATGAGTCAGAAGTTAAACAAGTGGAAGAAGCACCACACTGGCATCCACCTGTGCTGGGACTCGCGTAAAGAGATGCAGACTGTGAGGTGTGGCTGCTGACGAGGAAGAAACTTTTCCTTCCCTCAAACAGAAAAAAAGAGTTGAGATGAGCTGAGCTTGATTTGGAAAACTTGATACATAATACTGAAAAACACCTGGTTGAAAAAGCAAAGAGTTATCTTCATCATATCTCGAGTGAGTCCAACCGTTTTTGTGCAGGTAGTTAAGTCAAAGTCAAAGCGGTAACAGAAAATTTGTCAATCTCAATTCTTAATGTATTTTAGTCAAAACATGCATTATTGTGAATTTAATGCATTGTTTTCAAAAACTACAAATGTGTAGTCTCCTGATTCCTTGAGTCAATACTTTGTCGATATATCTTTCTCTGAAATTATAGCTGCGGTTTTGGGGGCGGGAGGTATATCTCTACCGGTTTTTTACATCTCAAAATGTTTTTAATCAATTTTTCTATGCAAAACAAGTGCAAGTACAGTTAGATTGGATGGAGAGGTTCCATGAAAATTGGAATACTTGAGTGCATTTAGGTCTGGACTTTGCCAACACCATGTGTCACTGTGGGGGTGGATTTTTCAGGGAATATTCAGTGCTAGTTTTCTGCCATATGCAATCTTTTGCATGAATGCCAAACAGTTAAATCACTTACGATTTTGACAACATTTTTTACTAATTGACTTTTGTTTTTATATATATAGATATTAAATGCAACTGGTTACATTGGATTTTATTTTGTGCTATCAGATCAAAGCTGGTTGAATTCATATCCATACTCTGCAATTTCACTTTTCTTTCACAATTATAACTGACACTGTGTTGATTTGCCAATGAAAATGACAATAAAGTACATGAATATTTTTGAAACTGTTTAAGGTGTAAGGTTAAGGCACTGTTGCAGCAAGCCAAAAAATAAATACATATTTTGCCAAAAGGTTGAAATTAGGAAACCATCTTAAAGAATTAGAGAACAATGAGGACATCAGATGGTGCAATGAAAGCAAGAGGAAAATGTTAAATTCCCTAATCTGTCAAAGAGGTCCATCAAAGTGCCAATGCATTGATTTTGACCGCAGTTGTTTTTTTTCCGCCTTGCTGACCCTGCAGGCCCAAAAGCTGTCTTCAAGACCCTGGTCTATTGGGAGCCTTTGTCCCCTTGAATTTCTTTCAGTTCCTCTGGGACATTTGAAAGATGGGGATTTGAGGCCAGTGGCAAGCGTGGTGTACCTAAATCAACGCCAGAAAGGGAAGGCAGCAGGAGGGGGCAGGGAGAGAGTTGTGGAGATTGTAAATAGTCATAGTAATAAGAAGGAGGTGAAAAGAGGGAACAACAGGGGAGGAGGGGGGGAGGGCGGGGGGCTTGGCCTGTTGAGGTGCATTCCACTGCCCTCCAGAGGGAAGACAGGGGTTTGAAATCAATGTACTGTTAAGTGCAGCTTTGCTACAGGATACTCTCCTGCATTATCCATGCACCAGCGCGTCAAGGCCCTTCCCACTTGCTGCAGCACCGTCTGAGGCTACCGACGTGAGGCTCTTCAGCACCTCAAGTTCCTTTCACCTCCACACTCTATGCCAACACTCAACACCCTTCTCCAAACAGTTGTGCCCCTGCTAACTGTGAGACTCATCTCACAACAGGGTCTCACGCCAACAGGCCTGTGAGCATCATACCAGTAGTGTAGTTCATCCACCCCCATCCAGTGCTGATGAACCAGTTCCAAAGGAAGCAGAGAAAAAAAATAAAATAAATAAAGCATCTTTGTTAAAACACACAAACACCTGGGGGGAGATCAGATATTCAGTTCTATTTCTTGAGATTATGTTAAAGAGAAAAGAAGAAAACTGAACTTGTGTGGCGCAGAAAATCCCTTAAAACTAAAGCTGGCCAACAAATCGTCATTGAACTCTGTGTTTTCTGGCTCCCACTAATCAAGGCTAAGCAGCATGAAATAAATAAGTACAAAATCTTTAATTAAATATGTCTATATTCATGCATGCAATAATTTTAAGTAAAGCTTCTGCAAATGATACATTCTTTGAAAAGGCAGAAAACCGCATGATTTTGCACCTATTAAGAAACCAATATCTAAATATACACATCAATAGAAAAGCATCAGTAAGCCAAAAAAAAAAACAAAACACTTCCTTCTTATTTTGTCTAAAAGTCATATTCTTCTAATGCATTTGCATGAGCTTGTGCATTAAATGCATCAGCAGTTTCATTAAGTCAGCAGGACCCTTTCAAAATATATTCTATAAAGAAGAGGTTTCCCAAAGGTGTCGATCAACCATCATTACTAATAAAAAAGTAAATAATATTGATGTTATGCACGTAACGAGGTACAAATTCATTACCGTAGTAAAAGTGCTAAATTGTTTACACTAATCTGGTTTGACTGTTATTCTCTGAAAGGATTGAGAATCGACGCTCTAAACCAGGGGTGTCAAACTCATTTTCACGTTAGGCCACATCAACATCATGAATGTCCTCAAACTGCCGGTTGTGGCAGAACGTAATAATAAAACAACTTTTTTTGAAAAACCATTAACATATAATATCTGTCTCTGCATTTTATGAATACTTCTAAAAAATTATATATTTAACGTCTTTTCACACTGAGGAATTTGGCACAAAAACTGATTTATTTGGTGTATTGTAAAGTGTTGTGATCCCAATGTGTGTCGTACAAGTCTCATCAAAATCTGTGAAGACTTTGAAAGCTACTCTGTATTTTCCAAGCGTTAGCGTTGCAAGAACTGAGCAAAAAGCGTCGTACTCATTATTGGTAAATTGAAAAACTTGTCACCTTGGGTACAGAACGGGTTCTTCGTATCACACATGTGACAATGTGTGACCAAGACTTTGTTGGGGTCCAAACTCTTCTTAACTCTTACCTCTCTGTCTGACATTCAGTCAAGCTAAGTGAAAAGAATCAGAAATAATTGCTTAAAAAAAATGTGGAAAGATTTTAGCTACATTAAAGTTCCCAATATGTGAAGTAATGTTGAGCTGCAACACATTTCCAAACAGATCTTTAGTTCTCTACTGATTCAAACCAACACCGTATGCATCGTTTCTTCTACAACTGGACGCTGACTGATGTAGACTACTGGCATTAACCTCAAGATATCTAAATACCAACCTTCTTTAAAATAAAAGTGATTAACAAGATCACAAGTGAATGCATCACAAACAACTCGGTTGCCGCATGAGACTCGAATAGTCCCTCAGGAACAATTCTGGATAATTCTAACAGGCTCGATAATCATTTAGGAGAGGTGACATTTATCAACACATCAAAAGGGAAAATATAGTGTGAAGAGGAAACATAATTGCAACTGTCTGAATCGTGCCTGATGTTACTTTTTTTAAAAAAAAAAGAGGGGAAAAGAAAAAAAAAATCCTGACCTAGACGCACGTCTCCCTGTGGCTGCGTTTAGTCAGTGAGAGCAGTAATAGCGTGCGACTGAAGGTGAGGAAACGGCCTCAGGCCCTCATCCCCGTTTAGATGTCAGCCCTCCTTGGGTACAATATCTCCGTAGCCTCCCTAGCACCTCCTTACATGAAGTCTCAACATGGAAACCAGAAGACGGCCTTGGGGAAGGTCAAACACACTAGACACTGTTCATGCACACACTCGTGAAAGATGAACTTTTAAAGATGCACCACTGTCTTTGTTTCGTTAGATCTACATAGCTCCTTCGTGGATCCTCTTGGGCCTTGTGTTGTTGAGAATGCCCTTAAATGGATGATCTTTGGACCCCATTGCAACTAAACTTCGATTGCAAAGATTGTACCCAGAAATGTTAACAACAGTAGAGCTCCGAGTGCAGTTCGTCAGAAGGTATCCCAATGCGCATATCTCCTTTAAGGTAACATGGACTGAATTTCTGGAAGCATGCTGTAGAGGTGTCTATTGATTACTGTACTTCTTGCATGACTGGATGAGAAAGGCACAACTATTGACTTGTCCCAGGCTTTTTGAAGACAGAAGGTGCTCTAAAGAGTCACCTATTAAAACAAAATTCCCCCAAAACAATCAGCAATTAGGTAATTGGATGGTTATTATTGTGCATGTACTTGCCCTTTGTCATTTTACAATCATAATCTTCAATGTTTTTTTTTTTTTAATGGGTTTTATGTGAAAGAATAACACATCATTGGGAAGTGGAAGGGAAATTACATGGGTTTCAATATTTATTTATTTTTTTTTTAGAAAATTAAATGGTGCAGCACACATTTGCCTTTACTCTGATAACCCTAAATAAAGTTCAGTAAAACTATTTGCCTTCGAAGATCACCCGATATGTACGTATACTCCATCCGTGTGGTAATTTAATCTCAGTATAAATCTAACTTTTCTCTGAAGGCCTCATTGGTGAACAAAACAACATGAAGTGCGGTCTACAACCTGCTGCTCCGGAGCCACAATTGCCTGTTTGGAGCTTCCAGTGTGACTCCCAATAACTACGGCTAAAATGATAAAGAATGAAGGTTTTAAAATAAACATTACAGGCAGGTTTTTGCAGTTTTTCAGTCTTTTCATGGATTAATTCCACTGGATTTCTAAAAGAGAATGAAACTGAAATGACCCGTAATAATTTTTTAGATACACTGGAAACTGTTATTTTTCTTTTACATCATATTCCACAAATATCAACACTCTATTGAACAATATGTATCCATATATATATATATATATATATATATATATATATATTTTTTTTTTTTTGAAAAGTTTTATATTTTTCTTTATCTCATAACGTTACAGTATAAATAAAATGTGGTTCTTTAAAAACAACAGGAAACCTGTGGTAAATACTTATTCTAAATTGAATTTTTTTAATAGGTTGTGCAACATTTATATTTTAATGCATTTTAACATGCATTTTAATGAGCTGGACATTGTGGGAAAATTTATTTTTGGGTCACAAAGACTGCAGACCTCAAGCAACACTGGGAAGGACAGGAGTGAAGCTCAGGAGAGCTTTAAAGAAATATGAACAGGTCAGAAAAAAAGACCATCTTAGGACACTGCTTAGTTCATTGTAAAAACAAAAACAAAAGAAAAACAATGATGTAGTAATGCATAAGTGCAAACCAGGGTAAGGTACCTATTGACATGCCGAGAAAGATAAACGATTATCAGAGAACCAGTCAACAGGCCCATAGTAACCTTTGAGGAATCTGTCAAAAGGATGACAATCAGTTGTGCACGTCACAAATCTGGCCCTTATTAAAGAGTGGCAATAAAGGAATCCATTGCTGAGAAAAAGTCATAAGAAGTCACAAGTCCTAGGGGCATAGCAAACATGTACAACAGTCATCAGGAACCACTTCCCTTACATGTTTTAGATGTTTCCCTTCTGCCACACACCTGACTTGAATAAGTGGGTGATTAACAGGCTTCTGTAGCGCCTGATGCCACGAAGAGGAGGTCATGCAATCATTTGAATCAGATGTTCTGGAACAGAGATGTATCTAAAATATCCGGGGCATTGGTCCCCGGGGAACCAGAATTGAGGAACATTAAAGGAAAAGAAAGTTCTGTTTTCAAATAAGATTAAAATGTAACTGTTTGACCCAAATTGAACGCCAATACATTCAAATCTATTACTGTTCGTCATTGTCATCATCTCCACCATTAAAACTTAGTAGTGGTAACATCATGTTTGTTCAGAAGGGCTGTGGAAGCTGGTCCAAGATGATGGGAGGATGGGGAAATCCTTAAAGACTTGAGATTGGGAAGGCAGTTCATCTTCAAACGTAACACTAAAACATACAGCAACAGCTACAATGGAATGGTCTAGATTCCCAATTCTGATCCCCTGGGACCAATACCCTGCGTATTTTCGATACATCTCTGTTCCAGAACACCTGATTCAAATAATTGCGTGACCTCCTCTCCATGCCCTAAAGCGCTACAGAAGCCTGTTAATCACCCACTTATTCAAGTCAGGTTTGTGGCAGAAGGGAAACACCTAAAACATGCAGGGCAATGATCCCTGCAGGACCGGAATCGAGAAGCACTGGTCTAGATCAAAGTATAGTTGTGTGTTAGAATGGCTAAAAAAAAAAAAAAATCAAATCAAAGCCCGGACCTGAATCCAACTGAGAATCGTAACTGACTATAACTGAAGATTTGTGTTCACAGATGCTCTGCATCCAGTCTGACTGAACCTGAGCTGTTTTGCAAGGGAGAATCAGTGCAAAGCTGGTAGAAACGTAACCTCAAAGATAATAACAACATTAATTATATATATATATATATATATATATATATATATATAATATTTAAACCAATGTAACATTTTCCTTTTATGTGTGTGAACATTTTGCAAGGCTTTACACATTTAGCTTTTATGTGCACATTGTGAACAGGAGTTTCATTTACAACAGATAACTTCTGCAGTAGCTAATAACCAACATAGTTTAATAATACATATATATATATATATATGTGTGTGTGTGTGTGTGTGTATGTGTTTATGAAAGAAGCGTACCAGAGGTAACTGACTTTTCAGCCTGTTGAGGAAGTACTGCGTTGTGCAATAAGCTTAGGTTCCTCAAATTTTGGGATTCTTATCTCTAACAATGCTATCAAGAAAATTAATTCTACAGCATGAAAATAACCTCATATGAGCATCGATAAAGGGCAACTTTAAAGAGTAAGAGGAATATCACGTTGGTGCAAAGCGATGCTTATTCGATAAAGGAGGGTTCAGCAAGTTATTTTGGAGATTCTAACTGTGAGACATACAAGTGCTATTTCCAGAACTGCTTCTTTCCTCAATTGTCACACATCTCTGCAGCTATTCTTTGGGGTGAGCGCGGCTGCCATGCTTGTCCGGTTATAATCTTGACAGCTGTTCTCTGTATCGCAACAAATTATCAACAGGGGTCAGGGCATTAAAAAAAAAGGGGGAAGAAAAACATTGTCAGCTGCTCTAAAGCACAATTTGCTGACATGAGCAAGTGAAAACATTTTTATTCTTGAGGCCCAAACCTCCCACCTCAACCCAAGAGTCTTTTTTTTTTTTTTTTTCTTACAGCTTTCCTGAGAGGCCGGGGCAATCAAGCACTCTACCTTGTTAGGAGGTGTTAATTGGAGTTAGTCAGACTCCTCACTTTGTCAAGGAGTCTGACAACAGAATTAATTAGAATTTGAGTATGTAAATCAATTCAAATTGGGGTCCTCATAGGGGAGGATGTGAAGTATTTTTTGCTGAGAGAAAAAGCAGGTGCCTCAAGCATGAGCCAAGTGCCTATTATGACTTCCCTCTTTATAGATCTTATCTTCGCAAATGCAATTTTGGAGAGGCCGAAGACATACGGTATAAATAGAGGTGTTGAGCAGAGGGTTACATGTAGATGGATTGCTGCTGGATCCCTTTTTTTTTTTTTGCCTGTTTTTCACATTTTTATGTGTACCCCGCCTTGCATGCATGTTGCATTGCTTAGGTTAATGATAAAATGTGTGAAAACACCATGGCAACAACAGAAACAGGACTTTGTGCTTTTCTACGCCTTTAGCTAGGCCCGTGTTGTCAGCCGTGTCAAGTTAGACTCGCAATTCTTGTAAATCTATGTTTAAATTACTCTTTGCTCACTTGAATTAAGAAGTCCAGGTGTTGGTGTGGCATTTATTTACAGAATGAAAATAAGTCCTCCCCACTTTTTATGCAAATATAACTAAGAGATATAAGCGCTCTGTTTACAGAAGCAGAGAAAGAGGAAATGCATTCTTGTTGTGCGCTTTATTTTGATACCCTATATTCTTTTCTGCCTTCATTTGTCATGTGTACTTGTATATTTAACAGTTAAAAGGTCCCTTTTTGTAATCAAGTGCACTGCTAAAACTAAGGTAGATTCCAATTATTTTTTTGAAAAATGACACCATTTTTCAAAACGAAATGACACTGCACATCTAATACTGTAATAAACAATTTTTGATACACATATTCCTGAGATATGCCTCGTTGCTGAAGTTATTACTTTTACCACAGACTGTGTTGAGAACATATGTTTGCTAAATGTATTTCATGTAAAAATGCTCTGTGTGCTGTTCTTACAATGCATACAAATCAACCCTGTTTGGTTGTAGATATGACAGCCTCAAAATTTCTATGCATTAATTTTGGTCAAATTAAAAAAAATGTTGAGAAAATCAATATTTCGACCCGATGATTTTGAGTATGCATATTTTTTCTGCACCTATGAATCTGTGTTTCATATCGAACTACTGGGGAATAAATTAATGCAACCTGATTTTGCTTTTTGCTGTCTTTTATCAGTTCAGTTTCAGGGATTTAATTATGCAAAAGCTCGCCAGATGCAACACCAAATGTGCCATTTTTGATCCAGGGATTCCAGAAACATTTACCTCTTTGAAAAGTTTGGACTTTCCTTTAAGCCCAGTGTATTGAGTAAATATGTTACCAAAAATGACATTTTCCGCATAAACATGAAAAATGCTGTTTCAGGCTCTCGTGTTTTCTATAAAGCACATGATTGTTGAGAATTGTCATGCTGCATTTAGGTTAAGCTAAGTATATCAAAAATGTTGCACACAATACAAAAAAAAAAGAAAAAAAATCAAGCCAGGCAATACTTCCAGAACATTTTGTTTTCAAAAGCTTTGAATAAATATCTCGATGCCAAAAATTTTTAAGTTAAATAAGGAATCCTTTTAGCCTGCTTTTGCAACATTATAATATAACAAACATCATTTCTGGTACAGCCGTCATGTTTCCAGCGTACCGTTCTATTTCTATTTGCGGCTTGCCGACGTCAAACGGAAAGCGGCTCATGAAGCGCCATACTTCCTTAGAAAAACATACCGAGAAAGACATGTTCGACAAATGCTTTATGAAAAGCCATTTTATTATTCCATTTAATAACACTCCCATGAAGACATTTTATACAAGATACATCACATTCTAAAGTGCACGAATACTGTACAACGAAAAATGACTTAAATACGGAGGGGGTGGCAGGGTAGAAATCACATTTGTTTAAAAAGAAAAAATGTAAAAAATAATTTAATTAAATTGAACATGCTTCTTTTTCCAAAACAACAATCACTATGCATGTTTCTGCTCATGTGACAGGGGCTGGCCTGGGAAAATAACCTTGTGCAGCTTGCTTGGGGAAACACTAAGCTTTGGCACCTTTAGAGAAAAGAGAAAAAAAAAGGCATTAACAAGGACTGGAGATCACTCAATGATAAAACCAAATAATTATATTTAGCTTAAATAAATTCAGTCTTAGGGGCTTGTGTAGAATGCATAATAACCCATGCCTTTTGGGTTGTCCTTGTTGTACTCCTCCGCAGTCAAATCCTCACACTTGATGGTGGGAGAGTTCTCTGTACTTGAGCCCCCTGGGGACATCCTGCGCCTCTTGCACACCATGGAGTACACGCCAGAATCGCTAGAGTCCACCGATTTCAACGAGTGGGACGTCTCGATCCAGGTTGAGGTGGGTTGAGCGTTCTCCTCCGGCAGTTTTTCTTTAGCAGTCCCCAGCTGGTCCTCTGCAAAGGCAGGGGGGCTCGGACGAGGAGACCAGGGCAGGCCTGTTGTCATTTTGCGCTGGTAGGAGCTCCGAGTTCCCCAGCCTGCAGCCATGGAGGCAAAGGCCGAGTCTGGGTAGTAGCTGAGGGCGTGGGAGGTCTGCAGAGACAGAGGCTTGATGCCGTACGACAGCAGGCTGCTGGTCGAATAGTCATTTTCATAGGAGAGATCCAGCTTGTTGGAGCCTGGCTGCTGAACTGGGGGAACAAACCAGCGCTGGGCGGAAGCAGCAGCACTGGGATCCTCGCCCTGCGGGGAGAGGAGGCTGTTGGTTTGGGGGACGGCCCGTTCGCCGGTGTAGAATCGGTTCTGAGGCAGGTTGTTGACAAACTGGTCCTGAAAGAAAGGCTGCATGGCGTAGCGGGCGCCGGGTACAATCTGGGTAGAGCGAGGGGAGTCTGTTGGTGACGGAGTCAGCCTGTCACTCTCTGGGGCTGTGTACATCCTGTTAGCAAGGAAACGCATATTAAAAAAAAAAAAAACTCTGCAAGATCCTTTGACATGCATCAGTAAAAGAGAAAAAAAAAATTGTGTGCGACACTTACGAGTCATAATTGTCCCTGAAGCCTTTTGCAAATGGGTTGTGATCTATCTTCAGCTGTGTGATCTGAAATGTAAACAAGAAGCAGCCCAGGATTAATAATGTGCATTTTAGTATAAGCAACTATTAGAATAGAAATTAAAATCATTTGTATATATGCAGGTCAAAATGAAAACTGCTGCATCCAGGGTAAAAAAAATAAATAAATACATTTATTAGAAAGCTTACATCTGTGTTCTGGTAGGCTGTGACGGCTATAAACTGGTTCTCTGGGAAGGTAAAGGTTTGAGTCCTGGCCTCGTTGTTCATGTCCTCCACCCCGTCTTCAGTCACCTCCACAATGTGCAATCGCGGTTGGTATTTATGAAGCGACTGCAAGACTATCATCTGAAAACGGAAAACCACAACATGCATCACACTCTGCTTTTCAAAAGGTGACCTGCTGTCGGTTAAAATCTGAAAAACATCCTAAAAAAACAAAACAAAAAAAAACAGCTCCTCCAATTATTATAAGCAGGATAAAGCATGATTTGTCATGTTAGCATTTAATTATAATAATAAAAAAAGGCATTAGAAATACATTTCTAACCTGTGTGTTGTTGTTGTTGGCTCCTTTATTGTTGGTTAGTTTTAACTTGCCAAATGAAATTTCTTGCCTCATCCAGTGAGCACCAGTGTTGGGAGATTCAGGATGGACATACACTTTGTTACCTAAAATAGAAAAGAAAAGAAATGTATTGTGTGAAAAACAACCAAATAAAAAAGTATGGACAAAGCACATAATACAAAATTTGCTTACTACTGTTAAATTTATTTGAGAATGAAAGGCAAAAAAAGGAGAAAAGGTTCTGATTTTTCATAAACTCCTGCTTTGAAAAAAACAAAAAACAAATAGGACCCTATATTAATTTATAACTAAAACAAAAACATTTTTTTTAATTTACAATGTGTTAAAGATGCAATTCTTTAGAAATGTTACCAGCTGAATCGATTTAGGCCTTTTACTCCATCAATTTTAAAACACAAACATGTATCTGATTTCTTTCAAAATGTGAGTTTACATCATAGTGAGAGCAAAAATTGCATTCCAATATTTATGCACAAATATTTTAAGCAAATTAGGCCCGGTTCCACCAGAAATTCTGTTTTTGCAACAGCTTCTAAAATATGATTAAATGATGTAGATCACCTTGCATATTATTGTCTGCTTTTCCACAAGTGACCCACTTTCCTCCCTGAAAGCGCCAGTGATTCGGGTCGGCCAAAACAATTTCTACAAACACATTGTAATGGGCCGTGAGGTTCAGTCCGGTGATGTTGAAACTGAGGAATGGGAACATCCGTCTGCGAAAGAAAGAAAATAAAGAAAAAAACATTAACATATACTTATTTTTGTTGGGAAAAACTCTTGAATAAATTCCTACACATTTTTTGCGTTTTAGTTCGGCCTCGTTCATCAGGCCGGTTTTTCCCCCAATTTAAAAAAAAAAAAAAAAAAATCACGATTAATTTTTTTTTAGTTTTAAATCGTCATGGATAATTTTCTATCAAGTTACATTTTAGAAAAAAAATGTGGGTTATGATGCAGCATAAGAAAAAAAGGAACTTTTTTTTTAAGAGGTGTAAATTTCGAATTGAGTTCTGAATCCCCTGAAGTCGGTCTTTACCTGCCCTGTTTGGTGATGATCATCTCGGTCTGGTGCCGGTGGAACTTCAACCAAAGAGGCCGGTTGCACAGATAAACCTGCGCCCTCGCTCCGGCTGCGGAACCCGGTAGAGACATGGACCCGATTCCCGTCCCGGTCCCGGAGTAGGACGGGTACAAACAGCCCGGGCCCTGGCTGAACTGGTACCCTGCGCCGCCGAACTGACTCCGGCCGCTGCACACGGACGGAGCGGAGAAGCCCGCGGGCGGCAGCACAGATCCGTAGTGTAGTGAGGCCGGGTACCTGGAGCCGCTGGAGCTTGTGTACACCGAGCCGGTCTGTCCAGCGTAGGGAAACAGGGAGCAGGGGCTTGCCATGTCGGAGCTGGTCTGGGAGGAAGATATGAAGTATCTGTCTGAGCCGAGCTCGTCTATGTTGTATCGCCGGCCGCTCGTCAGCTCGTCCTCCCCAAGCACTGGGGAGCCTTTCCTCCCGTCGGTCTTATTATTATAGGAGTCCCCCTCTGCCTCGCCCAGCATTCCGTTGCCCACCCCGCTCAGGTACTTTTTAGGAGCGCTGCTTGTCTCTGACTCTGTGCGCTCCACCTCCTGGTAGTCGAGCTGAGAGGACGGCCTGGGGCTGTTGTTTGCGCTGTCCGACGAGGACAGGTTGTAAAATGTCTTGGGTAAATTGATGCTAGCGCTGGGAAGAATATTCTCTAACTGCATCGTTTTGTTCACGTTCTCGCAATAAATAAAGAAAGAGTTTCAAAGGAGTCCAGAGAGGTGGAATCTTAGAGCCGCGGAGGTGCCACCGGCGCCCGGGTTGGTCTCGGTTTCTGCAGCCCACCTCCCCTTTCACCAACGACGGGATGTTGGAGCCTCTCCTCGCCTACGGATTTTCAGATTAGATCAGATAATGGTTTGGATGGGAGATGCTGAGCGGCTCTTATATGATTCGCTCATACAACGGATTGTAAACGTCAGGGGAGGAGTTTAGGAGAGGGGAGCAGACCCTCTGCTCAGCCAATAGCAGCGCTGCTGTGGTTCAATTAGAAAGAATATTGTGCCAGAAGAGTGTTTAGCTACAGCTACCTTTTAAACCCGATGTGGACGATTTAACTCAAGTTAAACTACAAAGGGCATTTTAATAAATTAGAGTACCAACAAAAAGTTAGTTTTCAGTAATACAGACTACAAAGTAAAACTAGAGATTAATTACAAAGTGACATGCCAAGCGTTTATACATCTCAGTTTTGATTATTATTGGGTAACACGTTATTTGAAGGGGGTTGAATAAGACTGACATGACACTGTCATAAACATGACATAACACCTGTCATGAACATGGATTAGCATTTATGACTGTTGTCATAAAGCGTCATTCGGTAAATTATGACACTTTTAATACAAAGTTGACATTATTCAAAATGTCTTTGCTATGACAACTTGACATCAACCAAGAAATCATTACTGTTTAAACTTTACCTTTAATAACATAAAGTTACCTGATTTTTAAAGTGCAATCAGTAATACTTTTATAACAAATTTATATCAGTAATGATTTATTGGTTAATGTCAAGTTGTCATAACAAAGACATTTTGAATAATGTCAACTTTGTATTAAAAGTGTCATGATTTACCGAATGACGCTTTATGACAACAGTCATAAATATTCATGAAGACTTATTGATGTTCATGACAGGTGTTATGTCATGTTTATGACAGTGTCATGTCAGTCTTATTCAACCCCTTCAAAAAAAAAAACAAAAAACAAAAAACAAAAAAAACCCAGGCAAAATTAAGTTCCTGACAAAATCTGATTATAGAAGACTAAAAAAAAAAGAATTTTTACTACTGAAACTGTTGAGGTCAACACAATCAGTGGAAGGTTGTTAATTGTGGCTTCAGTTCTCAAGTTGAGTCATTGACACCCTCCAAGGAAATTAAGCCACTAAAGGACATGACACTGGCTGTGCACATAGCTTATTCGTGGAAAGTTTAGTGGAAGAAGAAAAAAACTGTGGCAAGAATGTGCTTGCAAAGAATGGCCCATTCAAGAGTTTAGGTAAGATTTACTAGGTGTGGACTGGAATCAGAGCTTCCAGGTCCACTATGCGCAGATCCAGGACATGGACCACAGCTATCACATTTAACTTGTGTCTAATAGACTAAGATACTCTTTTCAGATTAAGTTAAATTTTACATCCAAAATGGAAAATAAAGGTAAGCATCATTGAAGATTTAGGAAGCCAGGACATCTATACTGCTGCTGGTCTACTGCAGCAGCCTTCAGCTCCAGTCCTTGAGGGCCGCGGTCCTGCAACTTTTAGTTTTGTGTGCTCTGCTTCAGCACACCCAGGTCAAATTAGCAGGTCATTAGCAGAACTCTGGAGAACTTTACTGCCTACTGAGGAGTTAATTCAGCCAATTGATTCAGATTTGTTGGGCCAGGAATGCACCTAAAACCTGCAGGGTACCGGAAATACCTCTGGTCTACGGTGTTTCACCCATTCCGAGGTCAGTACATCTGCCAAGAGGTGTAAGAGTACTACATGCTGCCCTCTGCTGAAAAGCTTTATAGAGTTGTTGATTTCAGTTTCTTAGCACCTCCTCACATGGCCACATGTAGGGAAACGTACTCATGTAATGACAATGGTTTTCCTCCTCTGAGTTGGTCAGCACACTCACTTGACTCTAGAAACTCTAGACACGACACAGAGGCTAACCCTAACCCTCAAAACAACCAAAACCGTTTTACAATATTGTGATTTATTGGGATTAAAACACCAACACTTATCATGAACAAAGAAAAGAAGAGTTGTATTATCTTCTTGATTGCGAAAAAAATGACCAGATGTACACTGCTCAAAAAAATAAAGGGAACACTCAAATAACACATCCTAGATCTGAATGAATGAAATATTCTCATTGAATACTTTGTTCTGTACAAAGTTGAATGTGCCGACAACAAAATCACACAAAAATCATCAATGGAAATCAAACTTATTAACCAATGGAGGCCTGGATTTGGAGCCACACACAAAATTAAAGTGAAATGTTCCCTTTATTTTTTTGAGCAGTATATTTTATCCTATAGGTGTCACAGTTTTTAGTCATTTGTTTTAATTTCTGCAGTGAGGCTGAAGGAAAACTTGTCTGATGGTTTTCCAAAGGATGGCTTTGCTTATTTTTCCAGAATATCAAGCTTAATCAGCAAGAAGTTATTCATTTCAGAGAAAAACTTAAAAACTGTCCAATACAAGATGCTCCCATCATGGAAGATACCACAGTTTCACTGCATTTAAAGAAAAATAAAAAGTTTGCGGTCTCTTGCTATTGTTAAACTGAAAACCAACAAAATGTTACTACTGCTTTTGATGATTTGGACTTACTATTTATAGTCATGTACATTATATATTCACTGAGATACACAGTCTCAAATATTTTTGAGCAAACACCAACTAATTTTTGTAGTCATTGTCAAATGTCTATTATTGCTGATCATTTTTCTGTCTTTTCACCTTTATATTGTTTATTGTGTAACAATCAATAAAAACAAAAAATAATCCCAAACTATGAAATTTCCATAGCATCGTTGTTTCAGTCTGTAGTTCCAAGTGTGCAGCAATACAGGACTGAAGGGCAGCACTGAGTTTCTCAAAGCTCTATAGTTCCAGAATTATTATTATTATTATTATTATTTTTTTTTTTTTACAAAGAGCTGAAATTCAGACACAAGCAGCAAAAAAAAATCTTTACATTAGTTGTGTTCACAGCTCTCTGTGAACACAATTATGAACATTTTGTAGTGTATGTGTGCGATTAGAGGCGTTTACAATCCCTTATGAATTAAAGTTTTCTTGACCTGCCCAGGCCAGCAGGGGGGCCTAAGCAAGCGCAAACACCGCTTATACCTCGGACTGGCCCTGCACGAGATTATTTTCCATACGAGAGACTAAAATATTTTCAAATATATTATTATTATATATATATCTTTTAACCTTTTGTTTGAAAATAAAATGCTCAAAGGTGATAAACCATCGCGCGCGCAAACATTTTTTGCGGACGCTCACGTGCACACACGGACGCGCCAACAAAACACCGTAAACCTGCCAGCGTCGGCTTCAAGCCTCCGTCATCTAACAGCACGATGAGAACATTCCGCATTCAGTCAGAAGCTGCTTTTCGCTTCTATTAACTCACCTCCAGAAAGGCAGCGCAGAGACCCCACTTCCCTGCGCGCAGACTCTCCTGCCCCTGAAGGAAAAAAAACCGCCCCCCCAAAAAAACAGAAGCACTCACATGTGCACCTTGTTTCCTATAATTGGACTTCGCCGCCTCTTCAGCTCCAGCGTTAATAAAAATATCGGCTGCCAAAACCTGCTGAAAATAAAGCTCCAAAAACTAAGAGACGGTTACTTCAATTTCACACTTGTTAGAGAGACGCTCGAGTGAAGCCTGTGAATTTTTTTTTTTTTTTTGCTGAAGTTTTTCTTCTGCTTTTTTCTTCTGTTTTGTCTTTTTTTTTTTAAACCAATAACATGCTGCTATTTTATTTTCGTTCAGAAACGAAGAAGATGTATTTCGGGGGTTGTATAACCCCCCCCCCTTTTTTTTTTATTCAACAGCAACAATAAATAAAATGGAGGCAAATATATCACGTAAGAATCTTAAAAATCTCGAACAATTTTTAAAAAATCCATAATTGAAATAGATTTACTCATTTCGTTTAACAAAAATAATACAGTGTAATCAAATAAGAGTGAAGCAGATTTATGTCCATGTGGAATTTTGTGCTTTTGTCGTATGACTCCCATACTTACGAGCAAACGGAATAAAAGTACTTACTGAAAAAATGGGGTTTTAATATATTAAATATCGGGAAATGTTACCTAATTGTAAAAATCTGTACATAATTTGGACTACAATAATGTGGCAAAAGCAAAATTAATTTGCTTGATAAATATTGAAAAACAACAACAATGATGTATTATTATTATTATTATTATTTATTATTATTATTATTATTATTATTATTTCTTCAGTACAAACACCTCCAGGTTATAAATACACACGTTCACACACTAACACTAAAATAATGGAAACGGAATTCAAACACTCTCCTATCTAGATGGGGAAAAAACAAAACAAACAAACAAAAAATAAAAAAAAAAAAACAAAGGAGGAGAAAATTTTCCGTATTCAGGCTTCATGGTGAGGGGGATTTCACAGGATTTGTAGAGACAGCGCTCTCTAGTGACCGAGCAGGACACTGGATAATATTTCCCCCTTTACTGGTTATTCTAAAAAAGAAAAAAAAAAACCCAAAGCTGTAAGAAGTCATATACTCTCACGTCTTAAAGTTGTTTCTCACTTTACATAATCCTCAGCTCAATTTACTGTTTGCATCCTTGTGTTTTAGAGTGTGTGTGTGTGTATGTGAGGGTGAAGGGTGTGTGTGGGTGGAAGGGGGGGGAAGTTTGTGCATGTGTGAGCTTTAAAGAAAGCGAGGGAGGGGGAAGGATGAGGGAGCAGTATAAGGGGAGGTGAGATGAATTTGGGGAAAATGGGGATACAAATCTGTGAAAAGCTAAGGGAGAGTCTCGGCTGGAGGCAGATTGGCTGGTGTCATAAATGGGACAGAAAAGCTGGGCGACTGGGCCATCAGGGGACCGGAGCAACAAGCATACAGCACACGGCCTGTCAATCAGGGAAGAAGACCTCCTCAGCAGACACACAGTCCACCATCAGACAGCTGACAACTGAGATTAAGTGTATTTTCCAAAATAAACCGCAGGTTGTTCATTGAGTACTGGCAAATGGTTTTTATGCCTGTGTCACTTTGCAAAATAAATATCCAAACTGTAATCAGTTGCAGACAAAGTGCATGCACAGTCCACATTACAGGGATCCTCACAGGCTTGTGAAGTTGATTTAAATTTCGACATAACAGGAACATGTACGTGTATTTATGTCCACTCTGTTTCACCCAGTTCTCTGTAGCGGCGTGGCTCCTGCTATAGTAAGCGAGTAAATCTTTAGTTCAAAGAAACCGCATTTGTATTCAAACCACATTTCAGTATTTCACACCTGAGCTGTCAACACCTTATTAGTACAATCATCCCTTATAGGTTTGTTTTCTCTCTCATCTTTTTTTTTTTTTTTTTTTAATAATCAGCAAATTTATCGGCTGGAGTTGGTGAAGGTAGTTTTATTTAGGAGATTTTGCTCTTCTCACCCCTGCCCACTGTCAGGTTCCTCGTCCTTTACATGAGATTTCCTCGTGAGACTTTTTCACAGCTGATTGTTGTACATTACTGCTTTTATTTCATGAGCTACTTGACAGATAATCCTGCTAAAACAACCACACTGTTATTGCTTTAATGACTGCGGTCTGAAACATGTAGGTCCCCCCTTATGCCTGTAAAGACCTGAAAACTAGAAAACAAAATAAAGCTGATTTATGGGCCACCTATAAATAAACTAAATCCAAATGAGGTGGATGTATAGATCTTACTCATAAAGGAGCTCCCACTTGTGACCTGTCAGCGTGTTCCTTGACCACCTATAAAAGTCCAAGTGTTTCTGAGATGACCCCGCTTGGCCCCAGGCCAGGGCCTGCGCGACAGGGGAAGGGAAGTCCCACCATATTGTTGTCAGAGTAGATCATCAACACGTCACATGAAAGGCACGCATTCCCGGTTTTATGGGCCAGAGTGGCTGCAGAAGCCTTTGCTCGGGAGTGAATTCATGTACCCCATTGCAAGGATTAATAACGCGAGTCTCATTAGAGATCCTCGCCACCGAGACCCCTGGAGGGAGGGGTGCTGGGAAAGGGACTAAGAGCAGTGTGCACCACGCCAGTGCCACGCTCCTTCGCAAATCATCATCCTCAACAAAGTTTTTATTGGAAAGAATTTATTTCACCAGCTTATCAACAATGTCCCCCATATATATTTTCCAGTGTGCAGAGATCGGCAACATTTAATCAAAGTTGTAGTCTTTAAACACGGAAAGCTTGTGTTACAGACATGCTGCTGTCTTCAAAGATACAACGGTGACAGCTTCATGAATTTCCGCTTAAGTACATCGTATTTGCCTCTACAATTTATTTTGTGATTCAAAACATGTACTCGCTTCAGTAAATAATAGCCGGGTTTTTTTTGTTTGTTTTTTTGCATCTATTCAGGAAACATTAGATTGAACGTGTAAAGAATAACTCGTAGTGTTGAAGCAGAGAAAAATAATGTCAGAATGTTGAATTGTCTCCATCTGCAACCAGTCATAGAGCGACACCTTTGGGATTTCTCTCCGTACACATGCGTGATATTTGGATTAAAAAACAAACAAAACATTCAAATATGGCAGATTGCTTAAGCCCGTCCATTGCTATTTTTGCGTAAATCAGCCTGTCTCCCTGTCAGATGCTGCTGTGATGCATGCATGTATGCCTGTTTTGGTTGTCTTTCCTGCGGAAGAGCCAGCGGTGGATTACTGTAGAAATGTATCTGGGGGATATGTGAGCCCGATGCACAGGTTGATAATCCACTGCATTAAGACCCGTCCTACAAAAATCAAGCACACTGGTTGCATTCAGGAAAATAGGATTGAAGTTGCTTTGCTGTGTTTGATTCCCTTGACGTTAGACAACAAGATTGTTGGATTACTGCATTAAATAACCACACCAACGGCCTATTGGGAAAAAGCAAAAAAAAAAAACACCAACATGTACGATTATGGTAGCAGGAATCTGTCTTTTTAATCGTCCTCAGGCACTTGTAGTAGAGACAAGCAGACTAATAAGAGACATTTTCTAAACTATTTTATTTTGAATAAACATATAGTTACAGTGTCTTCCAAAAGTATTTACTAAAATGAAAAATCTTCAATTTCTTCATTTTACAGCGACAAATTTCAGGACATTGGGCATTATATATAAAAACAGCACAAAGTAGAGCATAATTATGAAGTGGGAGGGAAATAATTCATAGTTCTTAATTATTTAGGGTTGTTTCCCCGCTGGAAGGTAACCACCGCAAGATTTCCTCCAGAATATCCCTATATTAAGATCCTTGTAAGAACTATTTGGGTGATTTACAGTGTTTTAGTTTTGCACCACAAAAAAGGCCAAAAAGTGTAATTTTGCTCTCATCTGACCAGAACACCTTCTTCCACTCATTTTATGTCCCATTCAGGACACGTGTCAAACCAAGACAATTTTATGTCCAATCAATGGATACGTTTGATGGCTCCTCTAAATTTTCCAGTGGTATCTTGTCTTTTTGCTTGCCCGGCCTATCAGTTGAGGTTGATGGCCAAGTACCGGTAGGTTTAATGTTGTGTCAGACCTTTTTATTTCTGGATAGTGTTTGAGATGTTTAATGCTTTTGATATCATTTTATAACCTATTCCTGATTGCACTGGATTATAGGAGTGATGGAGTAAAGACGACATTTCTTTTGAATTGTGAAAATGGTGGTAAACCATTTATCCTCTTCATTCAACTTCAAAGTTATGTGATACTGTGTTGATGTGTGACATACAGTCTTAATAATACATTGAAATTCGTGGTTGTAACATCACAAAATGCGGTTCGTAAAGAACCGCATGCTGAATTGTTTCAAACCTACACTGGTTAATTTCCCAAGTGCTATTTTAGGAAATTACAAGCAGCACAGAGTTAACTACAAACCAGTGAACTGAAAATGACACATCCACACTTTTGCTTTTACTGTTGCTCAGAGTGTCGTCACAGAACATGTGGCCAACAATGCCAAAAGGGGATGGTTGTCCATTGGCCCTTGCCTCACCCTCATCTCCATTTTAGCATCAACCTTTGTTGACCCACTTCTCCGTGCTCATCCTACTGAAACACCAGAGGAATTGACATAGCCTAAGGGACCAAAGCAAAATAGCAGGTGCTAAAAGTTTGACAGCGTAGACTGGATATATGTGTTCCCTGGAACGTGAGGTGTAAGGGAGGGTGGTGGAGTTGTATCGACTCGGCATTAAGCCTTCCAAGATAACACGACCTCTTTAACAGGCTCATGGTCGGGGACGGCTGGATTGAGCTGCTGAGGGAAGGGGATGTCTGTTCCCCACCACTCCAGCTTGTCAAGTAACTGGCAATCAGTGACATTGTCCATCAAGACGCACAAGCTGTACTCATCTCACCCCTGGATCCCCGTCCTTTCCCATAGCACTATTACTGCCAAACAAGCTGGGCTTTTATCACATTCCTAACCCTGACTCAGAAACTGCATTT